CAGATAACCAAAGGATAATATCACACTAGATGTTATTAATATATAGCAACAATAGTGTAGTTTAGAAATAATTTTTACTTATATATTTATATCCAATTGATATACACATATATTACTATATTTTCCTACTTGATATTATATAAATAAAAAAAAAAAAAAAAAAAAAAGAATATGTTAAATGCTTATCTAATCTCTGTTTGGATAAAACTTTTTATCTTAAGCTCAATATAAGTAGTATATAAAAGAGATAAAATAAGTGCAATGCTTAGAAAAAAGAAAAAACATCTTTCCAATTCAGGCTCTAAGTTTAGACAATATATGCTTAAAAGCTTGGCTCACAGAATGAAACTCTACTTACTAGCCTGAACAAGAGCTAAAAAAAGAATTCTTTTTACTACTAATTAGTCTTGAAATAAAAAAAAAATTATAATTAAAGAAACAAAAAAAGATGTGCTTTCAGTTAAAAAAATCTTAGAGCTTTTAAAGAAAGCTATATTACCTCCTATTTTACTTCATTTTGCACTTCAGTTTACTCAACCCACTTGGCTTTCTTTGAAGTCTATATGCAATAAGAAAAAAGATATTTTTTGTTATCTTTTTCACAAAGTTCTTTCTGTCTTAAACATATTAAATTATCAGAAACAGGCAACTGTATTTGGTGTTCTAAAGAGATACAAACTCTTAAACACTTTGCTCTTAAGTGTTTTAAAAGTATAATAATCTAGAAAAAGACATATAAGTTTCTTAATATTAATAAAAAAAAACCTCTACTGATTATTTTAAAGTGTTTTTTAGACTTTTAATATTAATTATGTCCAAGTATTAACTATTATAATCTGGTTATATATCAATATAATCTATGAAATTTGGTGTTGATACATTTCATTAAAATAGAAGGCTCTGATACTTCTCTAAGCTTGCTTAGTATACTAATTAAAGTTTATATTTCAAAGAAAATATGTATCTTAAAACACAATATACTAGGTCATAAACCTAAAACTGCCAAACTAATCTGTAAATATCTGAAATATATATAGACTGTTTACAATATTTTATTATAATAATATCTTAATAAAAAGCATTATCTGCATTCTTAGCTGCTTAAGCAATAGAGATACTCAAAAAAAAAATTTTTTTAGACTTATTTTTTTTATAATTTTCTTTTTAAGTTATTTGTTTTCTACAATTTACATTAAAGCAGTTACTACCTTATTAAAAGTTATAATAATAGTATAAGATAAGGTTCTGTAGCCTAGTAGTCTAGGCACCTCTTCTTCTACAGACAAGGTCAATGGTTCAATTCCAGCTGAAGGCAAACTCTGTAATCTACAAAAGCATATGAATGTACGTGAAGCCCTATGGCTAAGTCCATATAATTAGAAAATCGGTATATAAGAAAGTTTCTAGAAAGAAGTTTTCTGATATAGAGAGTTGATGCTTAATGTGAGAGAAGCAATGAACATATCAGAAATAAAGAAAAGATGCACTAGTGAGTGATACAGTGAACATAAAAGAAAACTATGAAAAAGGAATAGACTTACTGAAATTTGAACACTTTTGATACCAAACCGGTTCTAGTAGATACAGGATCTACTAAATTGAATAAATCTAAGAAGTAATCTTAGTACCAACTTAGTAAGTCTCTGTCGAAAGTAAATTCGAGAGACTATGAATACCTGGTAACATCTAATGAGATAGTACAGTCGATACTGTCTAAATGCATACCATCCATTAGACAAGTTTTTATGCATTTAGACAGTATATGCATTTAGACAGTAAGCATATTTTGTGTAATATAATGATTAGCTAATCAGATGTGGCCTAATATACTACTCTAATTATATCAATATATATTTTTTTAATATAAAAACATTGATATAATTTAGTTGTAATTGTGCATTATTGTTATGAACTTATCGATTAGAGTGTCTAGAATACTCTAACTAAATTTGCCAAGTGAAAAACCAGATATTCTATATTTAAAATTCTCTTGGTAACACTCAAATGTTAAATTTGATCGATCATATAACAGGATAACAATTAAATAGTACATTATTGACAAAATTGGGGCAATTATGCATGCAAAGCCAATTTAGTATTGTATTGTAAAAAATCAGACACGATAAAATTAACGTAGCAATAACGATAGTAAATGGTAGTCAGTGATAGTTAATGATAGTTAACATTAAATTCGTATAAAATGGAATAGGGAATTAGTAATGTATATATAAATCGTAATTCTCTCTTTTCCAATAAAATAAATAAGTAAAATACATACCTTGTCGCCATAATAAGCATTGAATGTAGTATTAGTAAAGTGTGAATAAATAAAATTACACAATATAAGACAATAGAAACCTTAACTATGCCATGTTTTTTTTTTCACTGAATATTCGAAAATATTGAATAACAGAACAGTATAGATGGATATTGGTTTTGAAAAAAACCTGGTTAATGTCTAGCATAAAAATGACATTTCATTATATGCTATATACATCTCTATAATGATAATACAAAGGTTTAAAAAAAAAAAAAAAAAAAAAAAAAATTCCTTCATGTCTTCAAAAATTAGTTTAACTAATGACTAGCGCAAAAAAATTTGTATACAAAAACAAAATAATTTAACCATGACACAAGAAGAGCTTGCAAAATGGGCAAAAGAAAAGTTTGGTCTTGATAATGCTCCCAACCAAGCAACACTTTTACGAATCCTTGCCAAAAAGAATGAGTATCTTAAGCTTGATGATGAGAAAGATCTTAGAATCAAACATCGCTGAACAGTACTCCAACCTCAACTAGATAAGGCATTAGCAAACTGGGTTTTGCAATGTCAAGCAAGAAAAATTTGGTTGACTGGGAAGTTAATATGTGAAAAAGGATGTAAATTGGCTGAACAAATTGGTCTTGACCCTCAAGATTGCAATACACCTGATTTTCTGTTCTTATTTGAGCAACATTATAATTTTAAAATGTATAAAATACATGGAGAAAGTGGGTTCACTGATAATAAAGCAATCAAAAAAAGCTTGCCTGAACTATGTGAGACTATTAAACAATATGCTGCAAGTGATGTTTATAATATGGACGAAACTGGTCTGTTTTACAGGATGGCTCTGGACAAAACAATTGCTAAAAGACAAATTGAAGAGAGCAAAAAAGATAAAACATGTCTTACTCTTGCTTTTCTGCCAATTCAGATGGCTCTCATATGTTAGAACCTTTTATTATTGGTCACTCAAATAAACCAAGATCGTTTAAAGGTATAACTGAAAAGCAGCTTGGTTTTTATTACTGCTATAATAAGAAAGCCTAGATGACTGGATTACTTTTTCAAGAATAGATTGTAAACTTTAACTGTATGATGGAAGATGCAAATCGACACATTCTTCTTTTTATTGATGGTGCCACTTCGCATGCAATTGGTAATGTAGATCTTACTCATATAAAGGTTGTTATTTTACCTCCAAGAACTACCTCAAGGCTTCAACCAATGGATGCAAGCATTATTGCTGCCTTCAAACATCGATATCATCATTTTTTATTGCAACATGCTATTGATCGTGATGAGGCTGAGAAATCTAATATCTATAAAGTCGACCAACTAAAGGCAATACAATAGTATATTCAAGCTTGGAATTCAATCCCTCTAGAAACTATTACAAATTGTTTTCACCATACTGGCTTGTTTGATTATAAAATAACTACTGCTATTCATGAAGTTCATCCAAATGATGAGAATTCATCTGTTCTTGCAGAGTTGGAAGAATCACTCCAAATATTGTCCCCCTGCCACCCTATGAGCATTGCTTATTATACAAACCCACCAGAAGAAACAGACATAATACATCAAGAATTCACAGATGCTGACTTACTGGCATCAATAACTCCAGAAAATGATAATACTGATAGTATAAATGAAAGTAATTCTTCTTTTATTACTCCTTCAAACTCTGTTAGACTCAATGCTATTCGTACTGTAATCAGTCTTCTTAATACAACTATTTCTGATCACAATACTGTGCTTAGAACATTGTGTTTATTACAATGAGAAATTTGACTTCAAGTATCCTCCTTCAAAATTCAAACAACATTAGATAGTTTTATTCAAGTAGAATACTAGGTAAGAGTTTATTTAATTGCTTTTACAGGTCTGCTTTTCATTGCTGATTTTTTGATTTTATATTAGTAGATATAGGTCAAAAGAGCATAATAAATAGGTTCTTATTTTTATTTATACAATGCATACAAATAAGATTTTTTATCTGACAAACTCATATGATCATGAAAAAATTTCTTTTGGTTATTTTTTTCATATATTATGATAATCATGTTTATTCAAATTAAAACTCAGCAAGCAACTCTCTACTAAACATGATCATAAATTGCCGGATAACACCATCATTGGACAAATTTTCAAATAAGGTAATTTGACAAATGATTGGCTACATGTGCTGCAAAGTAGCACATGCTCATTTGCCAAATTACCATTATTTGACAATTTTTGCTTAATAAAGTATACTTGTGTTAGAATTATTCTTATTTTTTTAATCATTCATATAATACATACAAATAGGATATTTACATCAGAGCCTTTATGCTATTGCTTGAATAAAATGGGAAAAAAATTAGAATTATTATCTTATATCACATTTAACCTTCAATTAATTCATTAACATGATATTATTCATTGTAATTTACTTGGTGATAGTATATTACAAAATAATTTACAGTATAACTCTATTGCTTAGAAAAACTTCTATGTTTATTTGGTCTCCATTTACCAAAGCAGTTATGTAGTATCATATGTTGTAAGTAGTAAATTTTAAAAGGCAATATAATAAATTATATTATTAAATATTGCGTTTTTTCATTATAATGCATTTATAAAATATTCTATTAATATGACATTGATCTTTAACTGTGCTAATTACTATTACCGAGTAAGAATACATCATCATACATGAAATTCTGTTTATTAGAATGCGATAAAATGGGTTAGATAGTGGAAAAGATAGGTTAAATATATTATCATATAGATCAGACATTCAAAATTATTTTGGAAGTTTAGTATTCATTGATTAATATATAATTTGGTTATTTAATTTTAAATCTGGGTGTCTGAATTTCAGATTAATTTGGCAAATGTAATATGTTTAGACAATTCATATGTTATAATATATTATGCAATTAGGCCTATTTACCTATAGATTTTTCTTATGCATTATGCAAATAGAGAGTTTATATATTTATAATTAATAACTAGATTGGAAAATAAAAATAGCATGCAGTTAAGCAGTATATGCATTTAGACAGTATGCATTTAAACAGTATTAACTGTACCTTGATATAAATAGTAATTAGATAGCCTTAATCTGATATGTCTATATGATAATAGAAGCATTGCATATATGTAATAGGATTAAAATCAGAAAGTTTAAATAGGAGATTCACAAGTGGATCTCAGATATGACAGCTAGTAGGTAACCCTTAGACAGAACCCTTAATTAGATAATAACTAAAGTTATATATATAACTAGTTGTACTTTCATTAATAAACTTTGTATATAATTGTAATAACGATATATTATCTAATAAAGACAGACAGACAAGATTGCCACTTTAATAAAAAAAAAAAAAAGTCATAATAATAGTAATTAATAAAAAGAATAATATAAGTAGACAGATAAGTAAGCTTATTTATTTAAAAATCCAGAATAATAACAGTTAGATTCAATATACAGAGTAAATTATGATATTTTGTACAGCTGTGAATACTAAGTATATAGTAATCAATCTTATAGAAGACAATCTTGCAAAATCATTTTCAACATCTTTAGTTTCTTATAATTTTCATATATGCTTTAACAAATTTTTTCTTTATTATAATTTATCATTTTTCTTTTATAATCAAACTATTTAAATTTTAATCTAACATATTAATAAATATAATAATAACAAAATTGTATCTAGTATTACATTTTCTGTTAAGTTATTCTATTATAAAACTCACATTTACCTTTCTAATAACTTTTTTCTATCTGATTACATTATTATTTCTTCTTATTTTTTTTTTTATTTTATAATCTTCTTCTTAGATCTAATTTTTTTAACTTTACTTATTTTATTTGACCTATTTTTTAACAATTATTTCTTAATTTCTATTAACTATAACTCTTTTTTACTTTCTTTTGATTCAAGTTCTTATTATCTTAACTTAACTATTACTATATATAATATTAAAGTTTTTAATAAACTAACAAAAAAGAAGTCTAATAAGACTATAGTCTTAATAATAACATATCTATTGCTAGCATTATTAAAACAAAAATTTTAGACAAACCTAATTTTTTTTTTTATAACAATAATCTTTTTACTTACTACTAGTTTAACTTTTTTACTTCTATAAAAAAAATAGTTATTATAATTTATAATTATCTTAAACCTTATATTTATAGTTTTATACTTATTTATAAGATACTATAGCATTTGATATTTTCTTTCAAAGCAATGCCAAACTTTATATCATCTTAGTATATCTTTTATTTACTAATATAGCTACTTATAACCAAATCCAAAACACAGTAATCAACTAGATTTAACAAGTCTCTTAACTTTATCTTCATTCTATTAATCTTGGTAATTTTAATATATAAGATTATACTTATAGTTCTTTTTCAAATTTTTTTTTTTTTTAACTTAAGCAATTATGCTAATACTTTATTAAGATTCTTGAAATTACTATTACAATTATATAAATTTATCTAACAACTAAGTTTAGCATTATCTGGCCATTCTAATGATGCTTAAGTGCAATTTGTTACATTATTTCAAGCAGAAGTAAACTGCTTGTCTAACTACTTAAAGTCTATAATTAAAGAGTTTTTTTTTTTTTTACAACAAGCCTTAAAATTGTTTTTTTGACTTTATTTTTGATTTGCTTTTTTTTCTCTTTTGCTTTCTTCTTTTTTCCTTCTACTTTTTAATGACTAGCCTTTTTCTTTTTGCTTAGATTTTTTTTCTTCTTTTAAATTCTTCTTTTCATTTTGTTAGTTATTTCTGTTTTTTTTTTATTTATTGACTTTTTTATATTGTGTTCTTCAGACTTGCTTATAGAAGATATTTCAAACTGTTTTTGCTAATATATTCACAAATCATTGTTTTGTTCTTGTATCTAGAAGTTGTGCTAAACTGTTTTGAGTTTTTTTGAAATTAGGCACTTAATTAATGCTTTTTTTATCTTTATTTCTTCTATTTCTGTTTTTTCAAAGAGTGCTATATATAATATATAAGTGAACCTCTGGTTTTTTCTTTTTTTTCAATCCTTTTCATGCTGTTGTAATGGACACTTTTTGTATTCTCTTCTAAAGACTCACTTGTCCTTTGCATGCTACCAGATGTCTTTGTGTTTTTTTGACTTTATTTTGGCATACTTGGCATTTTGCATTTTTATATAAATCTGGTCTTCTTTTGTTAAGTTCTTCTAATGTTAAGAGTTTGTTCAATATGCATTTTATAAAAGTACTTCTTTTTATGCTACTTTTTCTTGTTATATAATGCATTCTTTTGATTGACTTCAGCCTTTTTTAAAAGTACATTTAGTTATAAATTATTATTTCTGTTACTGGTTCTAAACTCTTAATTGCTGTTATTTCTCTCTACTTAGCACCTAGTTTGGCATTTGTTACTAGCTTGCATAAAAGTCTTGCTGGCATGTTTATATATTTGTTTTTCTACTTTAAACAGTACTTTATCTCTTTACAACTAACTTCTTCTATGTATATTATCTTCTTACTTAATGTTCTTTTTTTTGTAAAGTTGTTAGCTTTATCATTCCATTTGTCTTTGCTATAACTTTTTATTTTAAACTACTCTACTTGTATGTTTTTTGTTCTAACTAGATCAATTATCTTTATTATCTAAAAAGCATTTTTTCTCTTAAGAACTTTATTTTTATTTATGCATTTTAATCTTCTAATAATGTTCCTAATTGTAGCATTACTATCTGTGAATAAGCTTTTGTTCATTCTTTTTAAACTCTTCTGTTTTTATATAACTTGTTAGTTAGTTTATTACTATCTTTAATATGTTGTTGCTTTTCACTATTAGTATATCTAAAATTACTTTATCTTGTTATTAATTCTTATCTACTGTTGACAACTATTTTCTACTGCTTCTTTTTTACTTATACATCTATTGTATTTACTGATTTTAGTAGCTAAATCATTTTTATCTTTTATATTTGCCAATGTTCTATTAGTACTTTCTTTTTTTCTTAATTATTTTTTCTAGTTGTCTGTTATTTTTTGCACTATATATAATTTATTCTTTCTTTCTTCTATCTTTTGACAAACTTTTTTATTTAAGCTTTATTGCTTGTATATTATACTTATCTGTCTTAAAGGATTCTTTAACTTTTCTGCTCTTTGGTCTATTTAGCACTTTTATTTTTATTTTTTTGAACTATTCTGCTTTTTTGTCTTTGCTTGATTGTTTTTAATAACTTTTAAATTGCTGCTATATAATTAGTTTTTCTTTCTTTATATCAAGTAGTTAGTTTAAATATATTAAAACTATTTTACTTATTTTGCCTCTACTTCTTTTCTATAATTGCATCTTTAATAGTTTAACTATTTTGTAACTATAGTCACTTATTGTTCATAGCTCACTTTCTGTACTTATATTTATTCTTAACTCTTTTGTTTTAATTATTGTCAAACAGACTAGATTGTTCTTTTAACATGTTTTATCTTCTGGAAGCTTCTCTAATTTCTATATGTTTTTAGTTAATTTGCAATCTTGTATTATGAGAATGTAGGTCCCATAACTTAATGGTTAAGCTCCTATACTCCCATAGTTAAGGTCAATAGTTCAAGTCCAGCTGGAAGCAAAATCGAAAGATTTTAGCTTCTGTAACTCATAAGAAGCCTGTAATTGAATACAAAGCCCTGTAGTCAAGTCTAAGTGCAGTATATAACAGAAAAAGAATTTCCTAGAAGGAAACTGACTTTGCAGAGTGTAGGCACTATATGTAACAGTAGTATCATAAAA